GGTTTAAATCCTTTACGTTTAACCTCAACTTCTGCAGGAGTATCATTCAAATAAGTTACAATATTATCCCATCTAACTACTGTATACTATTCATCTAAAAAAATAATCGATTGATTCTCATACCTATTCCACCATGTACTTCCACTCTTCTGCATCTTTTTCTTCAAGTAAAATTCTGAACAAAACAATTTTTGCACAAGATTAGATTTTCTAGCCTTACCATCACCAAAAAAATAAAATATTACTGGTTTCCAAAATCTTTTAACCTTTTTTACTTTTGCTGTAATTAAATTTTGATAAATCTTCTTCATAAAATTATAATTATTTGTAAAAGGAACTTTATCTTTATTCTGCTTGAAAACTTTTAAAGGTGTTGATCCATTCAATATCATATTATTTCCTTCAATTCCAGCATTATGCTTTTCAGTCTTCTTTTCAACTAAATCTTCAGAACATTCAGAAAATTCTTTTGGAGGTGGCATGAACTCATATTCACTAAACTCAAATGGACCAGCTAATGCTATCTGTAATTCAAGACCTTCTTCATCAGTATATCTTGCTAAAGTTCTTTTTTCAATATAAGAACTTTCACAAGTATTACAGATTTTTTCACATATTTGAAAATCACATCTACATTTCTTTTTATATTTTGTTTCTTTACATCAGTTCTACTTTTTGTTTGTTCTTTTTTATATTCTTCTTATTTCTGTTTGTTCTTTCACTTCAGGACTTTAGATTTATCATTTTTTTTGTTAGTTTGTAGAGTTTATAGTTTTTGTGTTATTCCAATACACCTTTTCTTGTTCCATTATATCTTTCTTATTTATCATCATATTTTGTGAATCTTTATATTTCTTTTTTAATACTTTTTAATTGATATGTATTTTTTTTTTCTTTGATTCTTTTTTTTGTTGTTTTCTTGATTTAACTTTTTCTTTAATATATTATTTTATTCTTTAGTTTTTACTTTTTAGAATTTTCAGCACGAATCTTCAATAAATCATTATGATTTCAATAGGTTTTGTAAGTTTCTTCATTTTTTTTTTCTTTAGGTTTTAGTTTTGTTGGAATATAAAAATGTTAAATGATGTTTCTGTTTGAAGTTGTTGTGATGTTATTATCATTTGTAGATTATGTGAAAGTTATTATGTTGTTGGTGAATTCGAATTATATTGTTTTCTATTATTTTGATTTATTTTTTTTGATTTTTTGTAGGTATAACAAATTTGAATTGGAATTATATATTGGGATTAGGAAAATTTTTTTTTTTATTTTTTATTCTTAATTTCTTTAATTATTCTTATTCTTATTTTCTTTCTTTTATTTAGGTATAATTAATATGAATTTGATATATCATAGTTATATTATAATTATATCATCATTATATCATTAGGATTTGGGTTTTAATTTGTGGTCATAATTTCTCCAACTAAGGAATACGTCTCTTTATGGCAGTTAGGACTATTAGGAGATTCATTCTCTGAAACCAAGTATTCTAAGGCATATTACTATGAGATGATTCTGAATCTCATGTGATATTGACCATACATAGCTGTAGACGGTCTGGTCATTCTGATTTGATTGCAGGCGATCCTTGTGAAAGATAACAGGGAGAGTATTACTCCGAGCCTAACCTGAAGTATAACCTACACCTTACTCTGTTGAGGCTATTGTTCAATTCGTATAAGTGAGGATCTCTTAGTATGAGTTGGTGCCTACAAATATATCCCTCACCTTTAGAGTCTCGAGATATGTTGGCTTCCACGTAGCAAAACTTAGTAACTTACATTTATTGTAAGGCTAACAACATATCAAATAAAATCTATTTTCTTATATATATTTTTTTTAATTTATTTTTTATTAATAGTTTATTTTTCGAATATAAAACTGAGGCTATAATAAAAAAAAAATACAAAATAAAAATTTAATTTAGAAATATCTAAAGTAACTATAACTGTAATTAATT